TAAGACGGTTCCCGTGTCTGTTGGATTTTGGTAGATGGTCGTTTTCAACTTCCCACCAACCGTATGTATTATACAGTCCACAAAGTGTAATGTGCCCGATGTGGACTCTATTTCCGTGCTAATCTTAATGTGTGGGTTTAAGCTATTGAGATATTCGCTGCCTGCTTCTTGCATAGGTTTGGTTTGTGATCCCTGAGAGATTTTTCAAGAGTGGATGTCATTCCGAATTCACCCAGTCAACTCACAACTTACCTATCCAAGTGTTTTGGCTGGCCGTTCTGGACCATTTGTCCTGGTTTGAAATGGTCCACAACTCAATAATGGGAACTGATATCAACTCTACCAGGAAACGTAGGCACAATAGCGGCGTTGTCAATTCACCTCAAGTCCAGATGTCACAAGCTGATCAAGCCTGTCCCAGTGCAAACCTGTACTTTCAAGTGCCTTGACCAATGTCCGAATAACAACAATGCGTGGGCTACACATCTAAGATTTTGCTGGCTAAAACTGAATGGGTACATCATTTCTAACGGCTTCGATTCCCGCTAAGAACTAAAAGAACTATGCTGGATTACCTAAATCCGACCGGTATCCTGGTTGGCCCTTTCCTCCATCACTTTTGCAGTCTAAGATAGCGCAATGTTTGAAATCCACTCACGAAGAACTCAACAGTAGGCAGAGTCCAAGGGAGTGGAATTTCAAACTCAATCGATTCACATCCTCTCAGTCATACCGGATTTTCTATCGGAGCACAAGATTGATAAAAAATCTCACGGCGATAAATAGAACCTAGGCACGCACACTCACTTAAATCAACACATGTGGAAGTTGAATAAGGATAGTAGCAAATGTTCGGATTTTGGAATGACCTTTTCGTCCAAATATGAGTTGACGAAAAAGAACGAATTCCTCTCGAGATTATTTGTCTAATCAGCATAATCGAGAGCAAACTCTATACAATGTAACTCATTCATCAATGTTTCACTAACTATCGCATACACTCGACCCGACCTACATTTCGGTTATCGCATCAAGTTGACATGATATGCGCGCGAGATTAGTTCTACAAATGATTTAATCAAGGATACATTTTGAAAACACGCAGTTCAATTATCGAACATCTGAGTTGTTCATCTTCACGCTTTGGTCATCAGATGTGTCTTTGTGTAAACGCAGGCCACACCATGTTACAAGGTATCGCTTGGCCTATCGGTTGTCGCCACATAGCCCAAGCGTTCCCCTCGCTGTGAAGTTTCATCAAAGTTTGTCTGTTTTCTCGGCCTAGTTCTAAGTGATAATGAGTTATAGTAAAATAACTTTATAAGCTGTTGTGTATGTGCCACTGCATACATCCCACCAATTTTGGGATAATCCCATTTGGGACTACATCGTCACGCAAGCAAGACCAGCCTACCTGTGTTCACACTCCATCTAGGAAGACCGGACTTATTCTGTCAAGCGCACTTTTGAACACATTAGATTAGAAGTGCATTTATGAAAGAAATTTGCATGAAAGTCTGTTAGTGGAAACAAATGGAACACAGAATGCTGCTTCTGTAAGCGTTTGTGAATTAGGGCCAAGGTCATCACAGCGTTTGTGAATTAGGGCCATAGGAGGTCATCACAATGCCCGGAACTGGAGGTTGTTGTCGGTTTTGTCTAAAAACACCTCGTGTAAATGCCGTCCAAAGTTGGACATCATGAACTAGATATTTCTGAATTGAAATGTGAATAGAATCGACGAGGTTTGCGTGAGATATTAGTTGTTGATCAGAAACAACTATATTGGAGATCTTACAACAGAATAAGCCTACCTTATATATCCGTCACAAAAATCACCAAGATATGGGCGAATGTCTTGCGCGATTCGGCCACTTGGTGCTTCCGATGGTATGACGACACTACAAATTAACCCACCCCTTTTTATTTTTGCTTCGCATCGCATGTTGTTACCGTAATAACAGTTAGCCGAAGATGAACGTCACTCGCGGATTTCATCCAAAGTATTAGTT